TTTTTTTTTTTTTTTTTTTTTTTTTTTGGTACCAGTGTTTGAACTCAGGAACTTGTACTTGCAAGGCAGGCAGCAGCACCACTGAGATAAATCCCCAGTCCTGGAGAAGCCAAGTTTCAAATCCAAGTTATTATCTATCCAAAGCCCACCCTAACTTTGTGCTGCCTTGAGATGCAGGAAGGGAGAGGGAGAGGTCAAGGTGGAGGAGTCAGGCACACAGAGACCACAGGTCTACTCAAACTCTATGCAATCAGAGAATGTAAGCTCCAGAGGCAAAACTCTAGCACCCAGATATCTGATGGGAGTGGTGGTGGTGGTGTACTCCACACAGCAGAAAATACAGCATACAGAAACTTTCACTGTTTAAGCACACACACATAGAAACCAGCTTTAATAACAAATTATTCACTGGAGTTATTTTGTGTTCATGCTTTCTCAACATTTTCATTGAGCTTTTTCAAATTAAAATAAGGGCCTTGTACACACACATACACAGATTCTGGTGATAGAACCCAAGGCCTTCAATATACCTTAGGCGAGTGCTCTACCTGTGAGCTACACCTGACTCCACAGTCCTGAAGAGACGTCTCAGTGTCTCAGTGCTCCCCATCGCTCTTCCCCACGAGAGAGAGCTGACCCCCTTTTAGACAGTTCTTAACAGCAAGTTCATTTAAATGAGGAGTAGGCCCAACCATCCAGTGCAGTCAATACCTGCTGGGCAGCTACAGGCAGGTGGTCTAAGCCCTGTACTGGTATGACAAGAGGAACATTATGTCCTCCTTCTTAAGTTGCCAACGGGTCAATAAAACTATTTCAGTGTGGCCACCCACAAGGCCATTCCTCGGCCCAGCACCTGCAGCTCTGAATGGGCGCCCTTCTTGCTGCTGTCAGCGGAGAGAGATGCTAACGCACACTCCACACACTGCAGACTGAGATGCTGACAGCTTCATCAGGCAGTACTGCATCCTCCTAGGTGACTTCAGAATGATATTATCTAATATTACGCATGTAACAGTATGGCCACAATTCTATAGGTCAGAATGATGTTAGTATTTGTTCTTTGCTATTTTACCTTGAATCAGCTGAATGGGTACAAATGTTTATTGGTTTAAAAAAAAAATAGAATGTGGGGCCAAGGATTTAGCTCAGTGGTGCCATTGCTGCCTTGCAAACGCAAGGTCCTGAGTTCCATTCCTGGTACAAAAAAAAAGAAAAGAAACGAATAGAATGTTTTCCTGAAGATGTCTAGTTAACTCATTTCCAAATTTATGTATCCATGAACCTAGTTCCTTAGTTAACCCACTGCCTAAGTGTTCTTATTAATGGTTAATTCTACTTCTCTAAACACATTGTTTAGTTGTTTTGAATAGCAAATTAACAGCTTTGTCAATCATCAATCATCGTGGCATTTTTACTCTTGCAATAAGTCACAATAACAGCAGATGTTTACACAGCACTAATAACATGCCAGGCACCATTCAGGTCTGTCTGTGTCTCTCTCTCAATCTTTCCAACAATCTTATGACACAGTTACTATATTATTCCCCCTTTACAGATGAAGAAAACTGAACCATTAAAGAAGAGATATTAAAAAACTTGCTGAAACGAGGAAGGGGTAGGTGCGGATTTGCGTACCGCACACCAGCTCAGAGTCTGGACTCTCCGCTGCTAGACACTCTAACTCTGGCAGCTGCAGGATGGGCAGGAATCCCACAGATGAAGGAAAAGAGGGTCAGTGGGAAGATGGAAAGGCAGGGAACCAGCATTTCTGAGAGTCTGGTGAGGTTTAGGGGCAGGAGCAGGCAAAAGGGATATTTCAGAGCATGAAAATAGGGGCCACAGGTGAACCCAGAGAAGGCAAATGGACCAACCTTGAAGGTCCTGCAAGGGCCCTACAGGAGGCCATAGGGGTCAATAAGAATGTCAGTGTAAGGACCACTTTGGTATAGAAGGTAAATCCAGGAAGACTTGTGGAAGAAACAGTCCGGTGACCACAGTTGGTTAGTAGAGATGATGCTAGTTAGTAGAGAGGGTGGACTTGTAAGGAGCACAGGTCACCAGGGCAGGGTGGAGTGAAATTCAAGGAGGAAGCAGGTCAAGAAGGCAGTTCCAAGGACGACTTCTAGATTTCTGATTTGTGCAGTTGGCTGGGTGGCAATGTTATTCCACCTAACAAGGTCCAGAGGTTTTTGGAAGAAATGATAAGCTCAATACAGGACACAGTGATCACAATGAGGATTTGGATGGCATGGGAGGATGGCAGACACACAGACCTGGGGCTCCTAGTGAAGGATGAACCCAGAGATATATATTCTGGAGTCAGCATACATAAGACTATTTAAGCCATAAGGGTGCATAAGATTCTATAAAGAGACTCTGAGAAAGAGAAGAGGCTTGAGGCAGTCCTAAAGAACTGGATATATGTTTTGTTTTGTTTTGTGTACCGGAGATCAAACTCAGGACCTTGTGGTTGTGAGGCAGGCAGTGGCACCACTGAGCTAAATCCCTGGCCCAAGAACTGGATATTTAAAAGATCAGAAATGCAGGGATAAGTGTACAGTTTCCACTAACAGGCAGAAGAAAAACCAGCAGAGTATTGTGATCACAGAACTTACAAAAATGAGTGTACGAAGAAATTGATCAAAGCAAATGCAGGGCTGAGGAACAGCTGCTGACAGAAAGGCTATAGTTAGTGGATAGAATATTGAATTTAACCCATTATCATTAAAAATCATTCATTAGATTAAGCTCCTTACTTTGCTCATGAGTCACAGGTAAAAAAGAGCAGCCCTCTATGATATGACAAAGGACTAAGCATTTAAAAATAAGAAAAAGACCCACAACCCCGAGGGGAATGTGGATGTGACCCCTACTTGGCTGGAGAGTCCTCCTCTAGGGCACCCTGGGCCTCCTCCATCGCCGGGGTCTCTTCCATTAGGGCAATCATCTCCAAGTCGCTGGAAAACAGAAAGAGCCTCTCCAGTCATACAGTGTGCACACACTGATGTTCTAAAAACACACTCATGTCCTTTCTTTCAAGGAACTATGTATACCCACATCAAAATCAGAATAGGAAAAAGTCTTGAGTTGCTTGTCCATAAAAAACATTTCTGAAAATGCTAAAAGCTTCTGAGTAAGTTTCCACAAATGATCTACTATTAAGAACGGATTAAAAGATCAAAAAAAATACTTAACACTCTTACTATCCTGAAGATTCCAACTAGTAAAAAAGAAGCCAGCAATATTCTCAAACTATCAATGTTAAACGATTTGTTAAAAATAAGACTGTACCATACCAATCTCTTAGAAAATGGTAGTAAGGTGGAACCAGAACCCACAAAAATAAACATGGATGATTACAACAAACTGGCCATACTTGGCTCTGAGACACTGATGTAAATGCTGTCACACACAGTACCCAAACACACATAAGTACAGAATAACTTGAATTTCAATTCACAAGATCTTAATTTTTCCATTTTATATTAACATTAATCCTATCTGAACATTAAAAAAAAGTCTTAGCAAAAGAAACTTCACTTTTAGTAGCTGCTAAAATTAGTCAATTCTGGAAATGGTTCCATCACATCAGCCTGAAAGCATCTTGTCCTAATTCTGGTTATTGCTGTGAGTGTTTCAAATAGTCGCCCCTCCCCACAGCAAACCTCATGCCCCTTTGTTGTACTCACCTCCACTTTCCCTAATGGAGAAGAGTACATAGCTACACCACACTGCATTATTTTAATGTCAAGTCAAAAATTATTATTACCACCTAAGAGAAGGACTTTGTAATTCATAAAACCAATCCAAAATGAGGGCCCAGCATGGTGGCACATGCCTGTAATCCTAGCACAGAGCAGCCAGAGCTACAAAGTGAGTTCAAAGCCAGTCTGAACTACATAGTGAGACCCTGTTTCAAAACAACAAACATCAAAATGAGGACCACGGGAGATGTGACATTTCAGCACAGCACCTGGCAGCCCTCCAGGAGCACACTGGTCATGTCTTCCACACAAGGGAACAGTTGGAGACAAAGTGATTTTAAGGTAGTACATTGTGTAAGAGTGAATCAAGTAATTTAGATGGTGCCTGTACTGTATTACTTTTCTTTCTTTCTTTCTTTCTCTTTTACATACTAGGAATTGAACCCAGAACCTTTGCACCAAGCGAATTTTATTATTTAATTTCAGACAAGGTCTCAAGTTGGTCAGACTGGGCTCCAACTTGTGATCCTCCTGCTTCAGCCTCCCAGAGGGCTGGGATTATAGGAGGGCTGGCTTTTAAAGACATACTATGAAAGTAAATTTAAGATTTGTAAAGGAGGCCAGAGATTTAGCTCAGTGGTTCTGCTGCCTGCCTCGCAAGTGCAAGGACCCGAGTTTGATCCCCAGTACCAAAACAAAAAACAAAAAACAAACAAAACAAAACAAAAAAAAGATTTGTAAAGGAAAAAATGGAAACAAAGTCTTTGTACATAGAGAAAGGTGAAGAGGGTGAAGGGAGGGCAGGGGTATGGGGAAAAAATAAGAATTTAAAGATTAAAGACATTATATGAAAGTAAATTTAAGATTTGTAAAGGAGGCCAGAGATTTAGCTCAGTGGTTCTGCTGCCTGCCTCGCAAGTGCAAGGACCCGAGTTTGATCCCCAGTACCAAAACAAAAAACAAAAAACAAACAAAACAAAACAAAAAAAAGATTTGTAAAGGAAAAAATGGAAACAAAGTCTTTGTACATAGAGAAAGGTGAAGAGGGTGAAGGGAGGGCAGGGGTATGGGGAAAAAATAAGAACCAAGACATCTCATGTAAAGGTACAAGATCCCAATGATAAATGTAACTGTATTGCTTGCTTTAAATGTACCAATAAACTTAATGGGGAAAAAAAAAGATTTGTCATCAAGATCCTATAGGAGCTAAGATTTGGAAACATTCAATAATTTTCTCTTCAAGAATACAGATAAGGGCCGGGGACTCAGCTCAGTGGTTCCACCACCTGCCTTGCAAGGACCCCAGTACCAAAAAAAGAATACAGATTAGCCAGGAGAAGTGGCTGACAGATACCTGCAATTCCAGCACTCTGGGAGGCAGGAGGATTACAAGTTTAAGATCAGGTGGGGCAACTTAATGAGACATCATCTCAAAATAAAAAAAGGAACTGGGGATTTAGCTCAGTGCAAAGATCCTAAATTCAATCCTCCAGTACCACAAAGAAAAGAATACTACCACTAATGAGCAATGACAGACAGTACATCTAATGTTACATTTTGGTATTATTTTATACATTTGTTTTTTAGGAGGGCAATTTAAGAAAAAATAAGCTTATTTATAAACTTGTGTTCTTCAAAAGAAGAATAGAAGACCAGACCTCCTTAAGCCTTCACTTTTGTGGAGAACTGCTCCTTCACTACTGGCAATGCCTGGCCCTCTTCCTCAGCAGACACCAGGAAGGCACAGTAACAGCAGCACCAAGGACCAATTCTAACTGGTAAAACCAGCTGATCACACAGAGCAGGGTACCAGGTAGACTTGGACAAACACCTAATTAGAGCCTCAGGTGACACCAGTCATTGAGCATCCATCTGCAAATGGATGCAAATATCAAGATGCAACATTGAGGATCTACAAGAATTGTGGAAAGTCAAAGAAAAATGTAAATACACAAGAATTATATACAATAAATAAATATACAAAAATGCTTCTGAGGCATGTATGAATACACAGTGCCATATATGTGGGGCATTAGCAAATCCATGATCAGCTGCCACAAATGTGATAAAGAAACCTTTAGAAAAGCAGTTTCAAATCAAAATGCAACACAGCAAATCCTTCTTAAAAAGTTACCTCCTGGTTCAATTCAAGGTCTTTCCACCAAACAATAACAAAAAGATGTCACTAAACCAAAGCTCCAAATCAAGGACATGCCAAGTATAAAGTACAATACAGAGACATCATTTTCAAAACCTAAAATACAGAGATTTCCACTTAATCACAGGTTCTCAGTGGGTACTTGTGAACTTACCTGATGTCTTTTCCTGACCCCCAGGTGCGAACTCCACACCCACCTATATTGTCCTCAGGTCTGAATGCTCTGGAGGAAGAAAGAATATTCCCTTAAAGTGGAAGCTGCTCTACAAACTCAAAATCAGAAGATCATACATCCTGCCTCAAAATCAGCATCCAATGAGAAAAACAGTATGCTACCACAAAGTTAAATAAATATTAACATAAATAAGATTCAGATCATGTATTAATAAGAACAGCATTTACAAAGAAACTTACATTTTATCATTCCCACTATATCTTTCAAAATCTCGCTTCCCTCTTGGGTCAAAAGTGTCGAAAGCTCTGTTCCAGGGCCCACCTCCGCCTCGGCCTCGGCCTCGGCCTCGGCCTCGCAGGCCCCTTCTTGGGCCTCCACGGCCTCTGGGTGTTCGGATTCGATCAAACTTGTCAATTAGTCTGGGGGGAGTATAATAAAAAGTGCTGAGCTGGATTAAAGGTCCAAAGCCTTTTCTGAGAAAAAAAAAGTCTAGAAGGACATAATAATTACAGCTTTAGTATACTGGAAAGAATGGTAGCTCGAACAATAAATAAACTGAAGCAGAGTCAGCAGGTGACTTGCCCAAGGTCACACAGTTACTCAGCAGGGGAAAGAGCTTAGGTCCTAGACAGGACTTGTACTGACCTGAGCAGATCTGGTTTCCCACTTGTAAAGTGTAGGTGTTAACCAGAGACACTACACATAAGGTTCATTCCTATCCTAAAACTAAATCTTTGATTTGGAATGTTTCATACATTAGGAAAAATGTTAAACTTCAAACTATAACCCCTCCCAAATCTTTCTCTCGCAAGCACACAGTTTGTGACCTCTGAGACTGAAAACATTAATGTGCTGCAAGCTGACTTCCACCCTAGGACCCCCCAAACTTCAAGGGCAATGAAGCCCTCTGCTAAAACTGACAGCAACTTTTGTCTTTCTGGTGCCTGACCTCTCCACATCATTTAGTACCGCTAACCACTGATTTTCCTCTGACCTTTTGGGATTCTTTTTCCCTATCGGTCCCTAAAAATTATTTTTGAAATAGATAATACACAAACATGGTACAAGATACAACCCCAACCCCACTTCTCAGAGGCAGCTACTTCCAAATTCACATGCAGGGAGGGGGTGCACCCTTACCTCCTGCATGGAACTAGGTCCAACAGACCTAGCTCTACAGAGCTTTTCAGATTCTCTTTGGTCTTTACCTGTGCCAGCCTTCCTGCTCCCTCTGCCCTGCACTTGTTCTCTTGTCTCTGCTAATCTACTTAGCCCACGTCTCTCCTTTAGCCTCTCTCTGACTTTGGGCTACAAATCCAGTGCCTTCCTGGACATCTTCACTCAGACAACTCTGGGCCTGGCAAATACATAACAAATACTGACACGCCCACCCCCCACCCATCCTTGGTTCCTTTTGTGGTCCCTAAGGCATGTTATGAAGCTACTTCTCCCTTGTCCCCTGTGCAGCCAGAATGCAGGTCCAGGGTGTGACTGCCACCCACTCTCCAGCCCTGTCTCTGGTCACCACCACTCTTCCTGAGAATGTTTTATCAGATTCTCAGCTCCTAGAGAAAGGACCATGTCCTCATCCATTTACTCCTAGTTTAATAAGACAATTAAAAAATGTGTCAAGGCTTCTAAAGCATTTAAAGCAACAACAAACAAATTACTTATTTAATAGCTGTCATGGCATCAAGAAATCAAGTGGCATTAGCAGCTCAAATACTAGCACCAGAGGGGATGCCCCAGCCTATGTCATGGTCAAGCACATTACTTACAAAACTCATCATTTTCTTTACTCAAAAATACGAAGGAAAGAAATACAGAAGTACTGATAATTATTTTTGTGCCAGTCTCCTATGAGAAACACTATCTTAAGTTCTCCAAGTTAGCTTTTCTGTCTCCCACTTACTCCAACTAACAAAAATCATATTTTCAAATATCTTTATGAAATTTGATTCTAAACTATAGTTAAAATATTCTAAAGGAAGTTTTAAAACAATAAAAAGTAAGAGTAAACCCTTAACCAGGAAGCTAAACAGCACAATAAAAGAAAAAAGTCTACTCAAAAATTTAGATGAAATGAGGGAAGGGGAATAAAATTATAAAGATGAGATATATACCAATTCCCAAAACAAATGTAATTATTATAAAGATATACTAATAAAAAAAAAAAGAGAAGAAAAGAAAAACATATATGGAACATAATGTCACAGTGAAAATCCGGTCTAAATGTACAGAAATTTAGATCAGATACCAAAAAAGTACCAAATTCTTTTAAAATACAATAGCGATTGAAACCAAGCCTAAAAACAGCCCTGTGTGTTCTGGCACATTTTCATCCCCGAAACCATTTTTCTTTATTTCACAGTCTTTATCCCCCAATTAAATACATCCATAATCACTTTTCTTTTTTTTCTTCTGTTTTTTGTTTTGTTCTTTTTGGTACCTGGGATAGAACTCAGGCCTTTGTGCTTGTGAGGCAGGCAATGGAACCACTGAGCTAAATCCCCGGCCCTTTTTCTTTTCTTCTGGTATCAGGGATCAAACTTGACCTTGCACTTGTAAGGCAAGTGCAGTGCCACTTAGCTAAATCCCCAGTCATTTCCTTTTCTTTCTTTCTTTCTTTCTTTCTTTCTTTCTTTCTTTCCTTTCTTTCTTTCTTTCTTTCTTTCTTTCTTTCTTTCTTTCTTTCTTTCTTTCTTTCTTTCTTCTTTCCTTTCCTTTCTTTCTTTCTCTCTCTCTCTCTCTTTCTTTTCTTTGAGACAGGGTCTCACTATGTAGTTTAGGCTGGTCTTAAACTTACTATGTAGCAGGCTAACTTGTGGTGATCCTCCTGCTTCAGCCTCTTGAGTGTTAGGATTATAGGTATAAACCACCATGCCCAGTTCTTACAAACAGTTCTTTATAATCATTGTATCATAAAGTTTATCTTCTTTTCATAAAGGTTGGTAAAGACAGAAATCCTGTACATTTAAGAAGATCTGTGCCAAACTCATAAGCAAAAGGAAGAAAAACAACATTTGAGCCAAGCATTTTGTTTTGCATACCTATAACTCACTGTCTTGCAACAATCCTACTGCCACAGTTTGAATGTGGAGGTCTCTCAAAGGCCCATGTATTATAAACTTGGTCCCCAGCCCATAGCACTAATGGGAGGTAGTGAAATCTAAGGATTGGGACCTACTAGAAGGTTCTGGGTCACTGGGGCATGTACTTGAGAGCAGGGTGGGACTCTGGTCTCTATAAACAGTCTTCCTCTACCACACACTTCAGTATGATGTGCTTGCTGCCTTGCTCAAGTTCAAAAGCCACAGGGCCACTGGGCCTCCAAAGCCCTAACAACAATAGTTGAATGGTCTGTGTGGTGTAGCTGTTATCTGGGCCTCAGATAGTAGGAGTCAAGCCCAGTGCCATCTGGGCTCTTCTTCTAAAGGAAAACGTGTCTGGCCTGGGTGGGGTGAAACTTCAGGTCCGTTGGCTGTGACGAGAATTCACACTGCTGACCCTTCCAGTGTTTGCTATCTGTGAGTATAAACTGAAGACTAAATTCAGATAATCGTTCAAGATTACGGACAGTCTACAATTCTGTTCAATAAACGTACCAAAGAAATTTAAGACTATTTTTCAACCAAATAAGCAAAAATTGAACTTTGACTTATTACATTCAAATCTGAACATAATGTGCTGAAAATGCTCTCAAAGACTGTCATCAAGCAAAGGACAGAAACAAAGGTAGTGATTTATCACTATGTCATAGCTTTCCTGCACCTCAGTTTTTGTTTTCACACTACATGCATCCATCCAACCCTGTACCAAAGCACAGAAAGATTTGGGCACATGACATCCACCCGGAGCCACTGCTGTATGGTTCTAAATACAATGCAACTCTGAGGACTCTATCTAGGAGATGCCACTGGGTATCACAAGCTGCTCACCAGGTAATATTGATAAAACAAAAAAACAGGGAGCTGAGCAAAGGTCCAACACTAAGAACATGGTTACATTATGATACATCTACAGAAAACATTATAATGAAGCCATTAAAAATGCTGACCAAATATTGTTAATGACATGGAAAAAGTTTATGCTACATCAAGAGGAAAAGAAAGAATATAAAATACTCAGTGCAATTTGCATTATCATCTGGTCAAAGCAGATCAATACATTTTAAATAAAAAAGGAAGAATATAGGCCATAGTATGGAGAATAATCAGATGGTAAGACTGGGAGTTTTGTCAGGTATGGTGGCGCTCACCTGAAATCCCAGTATTTGGGAGACTAAGAGGATGACCGCCATGAGTTCAAGGCCAGCCTGGGTTATACAGTGATTTTGAGGCCAGCCTGGACTACATGGCTAGACTCTGTCTCAAAACAAACAAACAAAATTTTAAAAAAACATTGGCAGTTTTATCCTCCTTTATAACTTCATAATTTGTCAATTTGTCTATAGTGACTATTATTTCTTTAAAGATCTTATAAACTTCCATTATCAGAAGAATATTTGATAAGAAACCAAAGAAAATAACTTCTAATATCACAGGAGTTATTTAAAAATTCAAATTTCCTTGAAAGTAAGAATTCTTGAGCTGGGTGTGGTGGTGCATGCTTATAATCTCAGCACTTGGGAGCCTGAGGCAGGAGGATTGCTGAGAGATCCAGGCCTGCCTGGACTACAGAGAGTTTAAGGCCAGCCTGAACTACATAGTGAGACCCTGCTTCAAAACACAAAACAAAAAACCAAAACAAAACAAAACAAATGATGCACTAAGAAGAGGATATTGCTTTTGCAGTGTTCCTGTTGAACTGCAAAGCCTCATTTCATGAAGACACATCAGACACACTCAGATTCCGGGGTGTGACATAACTGGCCCACACTTTTTATAAATGTCAAATTCATTAAAAAAAAGGAAGACTCCAAATTAAATTAAAGACAACATATAAGGCACATTCCTGTATTGGATCCTGAACCAGAAGTAAGCCTCTCTTTTGCTAAAAGGGTATCATTAAGACAATCGGTGAAATGTAAGCAAACATGTAGTTTACAAAATTTAGAGAATTAGATCATGGTATTTTATTGTTGTTCATGAGTTTGATCATTGTACCATGTTTTCAGGAAACACATATAAAGTATTAAGGGACAAAGAAACATTTGTAGGCCTTACTCTCAAATGACAGGCTTGAATTTGTTTTTTGTTTTTTGTTTTTTTTTTTGGTACTGCGGATTGAACTTGGGTCCTTGTGCTTGTGAAGCAGGCAGCAGAACCACTGAGCTAAATCCCTGGCCTGACAGGCTTGAATTAGTAAAGTAAAATCAAAATTATATCCTTAACCCAAAAATAACTTCCTAACCTAGAACTTTCAAAGAAATTTTATCTACTCTTGTGTAATGTTTTCATGAATGCTTTTCATCATTACCAAAAACTTTATTTTTTATTTTTTGCAGTGCTAGGGTTGGAACCCAGGGCCTCATGCACACCATGCAAGCATTCTACCTACTGAGCTGGGCTCCTGCCCTCAATTCATTTTTAATTATTTCCTGTACTGAGATAGAAGGTTAACTATGATATAATAAAGATCCTTCCTATATCATGTAAGGTAATATAATTTGCCACCATTCCCAGGCCTATGATATGAACAGATCAGAATGTTCACTTCCTGCAAACCTTTTGATATCCTGCATTCTCTGAGAATGGCAGTACATACTTTTCATCTGTGCACTTCTCAGCTGTGAAGTCCGCCTGTTGCTCGGTCTCACAGGGTCGATATTCCCTGTAGGATCGACGTTCTGTTCTGTCCTGTGTCACTTCTGTCCCTTGGCTGTCATTCCATCCTTGTACCTCCCCTCTTCTAGGAGGACGCCCCTGGCCTGCTGGCAGAAAGAAAGCAGAGAGCTGGACACAACCTCCACAAAAGCAGTGTAAAACTTCACAAGTACTTTTAAGTTTCATTTTTCTAGATCACTAGAAAATTTGAGAAGTCAAGGAAAATTTCAGAGAAAAGTTGCACATATAACCACCTAGAGTCAACCATTTTTAAATGAAGCTTTTACTATTAAATCCCTTCCTCCTAAATGTCTTAGAAAATAAATTTAAACTAAGATTTTAAAACTTACAAGCTACTCTATAAATAACAGGTATCCGGAAATAACTCTGAAACAGCTATGGATACATTTTGCTAAATAAGTTACTTTTCACAGGAGAAACTTTACCAAACATGGTTATAAATCCTCTTCAGAAAATTAAAGGAGAAATTCGTTGCATTTCAGATTACTTTCACAATCCCAACTGCATATAAAGGCTGGCTATGGGGTGGGGATGTGGTTCAGTGGCACTGCACCTGCCTGGCGAGCCCAAGGCCCTGAGTTTGATCCCCAGTACTGAAAGAAAACAATGGGGGGTGGTGACTAAGGTTATCCATTGGCTACTAAGGTTTTCGTTTTAAAATAGTTTGTCATGTATATCTTTATTTTAAAAACAGACTTTCTTGCTGTTTGATGAGATTTATGTATTTGGGATCATACTTCTGAACTGTGATCCCAAACTGGTATATTCCAACTCACTCGAGACCCAGTCAGTACCCAGTCTGCCTCTCCTTTATCACTGAGACTTTAGAAACCAGCAGAGGCAGGAACAAGGTGCTGGGGCTACTCTAGTCTTTTCCTCTCTCCTTCCTCCTTTGCTACTCCCATCTAGTTTTGATGCTTTAAATTTTTTATACTGTTTGAGTTAATAACTTGGTATTTTGTGGAGAACTTTGTTACTTCTTAAATCATCTCCTAAAAATGTTATGGAGAGCCCAAGGCCTTTACACTGAGCTACATCCCCAGCTCGATTTTTGAGTCAGGGTCTAAGCTGCTAAATTGCCCAGACTGGGCTTGAATTTGAGATCCCCCTGCCTCAGCCTGCCAGACTGCTGGGATTATAGGCATGCACTGCCACTCTGTTTGCTTCAGTATTTGTTATAAATTATTCTTCACATTGGCTGTATAGCTAAAAATGTTAAATTTATTCATTAATGAATGTTTTAAATTGCTAGATTACTATGAGACATACACATGACTTTTAAGAAATATGTATGTCTATGCATATTTCTACTTTACCATTTAATATCTTTTGTCTACACTTTATAGTCTGGGTAAATATTAATTAGCCTCATTTTTTGTTTTGTTTTGCTTTTTGAGACAGGGTCTCACTATGTAGTTGAGACTGACCTGGAACTCACTATGTAGCTCAGGCTGGTCTCGAACTCACAGGGATCCTCCTGCCTCAGCCTCCCAAGTGCTGGGATTACAGGCGTGAGCCACCACACCCGGCCCAACTGGCCTCATTTTAAAGTGAATGTATATGTCTGTTATATAACTAAAAAAACTGTGCAATTTGTTACCTTTAATATGAATTTTTTTGGGGGGTACTGGGGATCAAACTTGGGACTTTGTGCTTGTGAGGCAGGCAACGGAACCTCTGAGCTAAATCCCGGGCCTTATTATCTTTAATATAGGTACTTCCCTTAGTATGAAATTAAAAGTTGATCAATAGACCTAAGAACAATTTGCTATGGTTTTTAATATCCTATAACCTAGAAACATTTAGGTCCAATGTGCATCCACTCTAGGGTGAGGTCACAATCTATGCTTGTATGTGACATGGTTAGGGCACAAGAAAGATGTCATCATATACAGAGCACTATGCTTTTATTGCAGAAACATATTACCAGGGGACCAAAACTGGAAGAGGTTTTTGAAATACATGGCAGAAAAATGCCATTTTAAAAATTAACTACCTAGTAAGTACAAAATTATTAACAGACCATAACATAAGTTACCATGACATTTGTTAGAAGTAATAATGCTTTTCAATATTTTTCTCTCAGTGTGAAGAGCAGTTTTAGAACAGCTTCAGATTTCCTATATGCAAGTTTTAAAAAACTTTTAGTGTCTCCTTTCAAATACAGAATTACACATCCCATTTTCTTTCTGCAGCCTAAGTTATTTTTAAACTATCAATTAAATTTGAAATTCACCATTCAAAACTTAAAATATGACATTACACACTTTTTAGTAAAGTCTCTTCCAAAATTTCTGGGTATAAATTGGTAACTGGTAAATACAACTGGCTACTTATTAGGATAATAAATATCTTGCAAACACATCAGGGTTCCTATAAAACTCCCCAAAACAAAGGTAATCAGTGACTCCCTCCTCGCAACATTTAGTTCTACTAGAACCTGGCTTGTTCTGCGCTGGGTCAGCAGCTCCTAGTAGCAATCTACACACTGCATCTCACCAGCTCTTTCCAATAAAAGGCTGGCAAATGAAGCTTGACCATGTATCTAAACTTAGTTCACAGAAGAAACAATACACAACAAAACTTACAGTAGGAATTCTTACTTAAAAACAAAAAAAAGCCGAGCTTTAGCTCAAGGACCTTAGTTCTGAAAGGGCAGGAAAGCAAAGTTCAAACACTGTCTGGTAAGTCAAGAATAAATTTATTGGGCAAGGTTCCGCAAAGGGCCATGGATTTCATTAGACACAAGCTCAGGACGTGAAAAACCTACTTTTTCATGAAGAAATCTTGCCATTTTCATATTTTTGGGGATTGTTTAAAATCATGTGCGAAGTTTATCTACACTAATCTTTCACGTACAATATTCAAATTAAAGATTTTGAGGGTAGTACAAGTACAAGCCTTCATACCAATTAGCACTAACAAAATCTTGAAAGTTGTTTCCTAATTCCCATCATGATAAATGTAGTACGGTACAGTAACTACATGAATGGAATTAATGAGATCTTTGCTCCTGAAATTGCACATACTTGAAAAGGAGCTACAATAATAAAGTTTCCATTCCAACTACAAAATCAGTTAAAGATCTTTAACATGCATCTCAAAAGCCAGATTGCCAAGATGGAACAACTAATGGAAAGAAACGTTGTAAGCATACTAGATTGCAAAGTGAAGTGAGCGAGGTAGGCTGCACCCCAGTTTATATCATTTAAGTTTACGAAGAAATAGCACTGTACACTTATGTAATACATTTATGCATATAATGCGGGCCTACACTAGGAAAATTAGGGGTCTCCATTTAACACATATTTTGTTTTTTTGTTTTCTTAACCAAAACGTATTTAAAAAGGGTAAAAATCAGATTAACACTCCTAACTTCAGTCTCACACTCTCCTAAAAGTCTATTTTCATTTGTTAAAAAAATTAATAGAGAGTTAAAGTTTAGTCATTCTCAATGCTTTTACTTCCATTTTATCATTTAAGAGAACAACAACTCAAAGTGTTCTCACCTGTTTAAATAGGGTCATACCGCTGCTGGGATATCCAATAATTAAAACAATTTCCAACATTTTTATGTTCTGACTCTCAAGCGACGTCTCTGGACTTTTCACAAATAAAAAGTAAACATAACCTAGTCAAAGGCCCCGTGGAAACTATGGGGCATTCTCTCCCGGTCGGAATGCAGTTTTTAAATCAGGCCAGAAACAAGCCACTACAGCCCCACTGGCTACCCCGGCCAGCATTGGCTGGAGCAGCCACACTGCACATCCTAGTCGGAGTCCTCTTCCTGCCATTCTGGGTTGCTGCACCAGGCTGTGCGCTGACCTCCCTGCTAACCTAGGGGCAGAAGTAGGCGCAAGCTCTGCGTGGCAGGTCAGCCACGCTTTCCTACAGCAGCTCGAGTGAATAACAAGTCTCACACTCTGTCCACACAGCACGCTGACCTGCGAGTTGAAGTGTGGGTCTGGGTGGGAGGGCTGCAGGGGGCCTCATGTCACAGGCCGCCCCCTCTCCGTCCTCCACTGGGTCCGCAATCGCCTCCCGACCAGCATCCCACGGAGGCCGGGGGTGGGGCGGGGAGGCTCCTGCTGGGTCAGCACGACCCTGGTCTTCGCACCAAAGACCTCCCTCCACTCTGACCAACTCTGGGGGTCCACACCCCGGAAGGGCCTGGGGAACCCCCGTGTGTACCCCGTCCCCGAGGGATCACCCCACTCGTCCCTGCGGCCGAGGCAGGGAGATCTCCGTACCCGGCTGTGGTGGTGGCGGGGCCCCCCTGGGACTCCCTGGGGCTGCG